GACAGTACAAGTCATTATAATCCGAATTATGTCCCCACTGGATGCAACAAATGCCTTGTTTATAATGGTCACTGCGGCCGGACAGGGCATCACAGTATGGTAAGGGCCGTAACATTTCCGTCACACGCTTGAGGTATTCGGCCAATCACAACGCACTGGATAGCTGGCCAATCACAGCACACCTTGCTTTTCAGACCGATGAGCTTTGTAAAAATCGACGTGTTTCAGAAAGGCGGGGCATAGAGGAGAAACAATTATGTACAGTATGTGGAAAATAATGTGTTTTTTGAACCTTAAACCACATAAACACATTTCATTACACCAAATACACAAAATAATGTTCTTTTTAGCAACATCATATGACCCCTTTAACTTTTTGTTTGAGCTGTAATGATATTTGGATAAACCGTATGATTGTGAATGTTTTATTGCTTAACTAAAGAACTTGAATTGTAGTTAGTGTCTATATTTATACAGAGGTTCTATATAAAATCATTCAGAGACACTCTTTTGTCATATCAATGTCAGTTTCAGAAGTCATGGTAATGATTCAGCTCTGGTAAACCTATTCAGGACATCCAGTACTTGTTAAACTTGTGCTTGAAAGATAATTGAAGATGTAATTAAAATTCATGATGCTGAGTGTGTGACGTGTTAAACCTCTGACTGATTTAAATGTGTTGCTCCAAAATAGTACATTGGAGTTCTGTGACACTAAATGCAGAACATTAAGCGTTATCTTATTTAATAATGTTAATTTAAATCTGATAAGGGTTGGTCATGCATTTTTCATTTAAATTGTTGTTCACATTCTAGAGAGTGGGTAGATTTTCCTTCTGTTGGGATTGGAAGTGATGTGCCATGCTGTGAATCGAAAGTGTTTTAACAATGCATAAAACTCATTTCTATGAAGTCTCAGATGAACCAGATGAGTGTTTGAATGTCTCCACTGGCATAGAGGATGTAGCTTTGTGGTGTTTTATTATTTATTTCAAACTTCTGTATCTCCACTGTGATTTTGAAAGCATGTAAGTAACAGGAATTGGGCATAACATGTCTAGAAAAATATTTAATGATCAGAAAAATATTTCTGAGTTTAATGTAATAACATGCGTAATACATTTTAGGATTTTACTATAGCTTTCTTGATAATATGACAGAACCAAAATATGACTCTCTCTCTGTATTAGTATACTTAGTATTTTTTTTTTAAGGGTTAATATGTTTAATTGGGGAAAAAAATCACTGATACATTATATCTCCGCATAACACGATAAAAACAACCCTGCTTACTTGATTAATAACATGAATCAGTTCAGCTTTTACGTCTTGTTGTTTGCTTATCACCGTCATTGTGAATTTTAAGGACCCTGTCTACGAAGTTGGAACATTGCAAACATTTAGCAAATTTTTTTTGGTTGCAAAACGTAAAGTCCACTGGTTGATGTTGAAACTGCAGGGCAGAGGCGTTTTAACCCACACAGTGACGTGCTGTTGGAGTGCGCACATTCAGAGGTGAGGGGAGCACATTATGCTGGTCAGTCTCCCTGTGGTGCTCCTATCAACTCTGAACGCGCGTCAATATGAGTGCAGGCGTCCTCCTCCTCCTCAGCATCCCCGACACACTGCCGCGGAAAGGAAACATGAGGTGATGCAGACTTGACTTCTTTGAGTATGTGGATGCGTATGTTGTTTGCTCAACTGAGAGTAAGTTCCTGTCGCGTGCCCAATGCTTTCATGCATGTATTCGCATATTTTAGCGACAGGATTAGAGCAGCTGGAATGAGATGCTGAGAGGTCGCACTCTGTAGAATGGACTGTTTATGTATCGTTAGCACAAAGGTAAGGCATCTATGTATGTGTTTGCAATGTTCTCCATGTTGTTTGTCCATAGTATGTTTAATATACAGATCATTATGATTATACATTGAACAAAATTTAGATGGGCAAATGTGCAACTTTAATCTTTGGTTTCAGAACTATCGCTAGGAGATTCAAATGAGCAATCACAAAGTTTGTTTACTATCTGTCTGTCTGTCTGTAAACATTTGACTTAATAGTATTAAACCTCTTAATTACTAACCCTGTATGACTACTTTGATAAGAAATAATGCCGCAAAAGGTCATCACACTGTGCAGTGTGCACTGATTAGGCTGTTATTTAGTTAGAAAGTGGTATTTGAGCTTAATTGTTGAATATTTAGGAGGTGTCTGTATAGGAAAGAGTTACACAACCACATTTTATAACCAACTGACTCCCTAAAGATTTCAGGGGCTCATAAATGAATTGAATCGAAAGAGGTTGATACGTGCTGTGAACAAAGGAGCAGTCAACAACTAGTTGTCCATCACATCTTTAATCTGCATATTTGCAGATCTTTGCTGTCAATCACTTGTGTTAGGACTGTCAGCCTCTTTCAGATTAAGAAAAATGGCAAACCTAACAGTCAAGTTTATTAAATTTAAATGAGTTCATTTTACTCAAATATTACTGAAACTTCTTTGCACTTGATAGATATGTGAACTCCGTAACTGATTATATTGAGAAGAACTCAAATGGAATACATTACAGCAGATTTATAGCTCCCAGCATGCTTTGCTTGAGATTAAATGGGAGTGTAAATGTTGAAATGTTGTTTTTTGCACACGATTAATATAAGGGGAGATCTGTTAGTGTTGTTATGTTGGGTTTTATGTCTGTTATGTTATGAGTTTTGGGTGAATACCATTCTGCGTAGAGCCTTTGGTTAATGGGATAGTTCACCCAAAAATGAAAATGTGATGTTTATCTGCTTACCCCCAGGGCATCCAAGATGTAGGTGACTTTGTTTCTTCAGTAGAACACAAACGAAAGATTTTTAACTCAAACCGTTGCGGTCTGTCTTATAATGGAAGTGGATGGGAATCACGGCTTTGAGAGTAAAAAAAAAAAACATACACAAACAAAATCAAATTAAACCCTGCAGCTCGTGACGATACATTGACGTGTAAAGACACGAAACGATCGGTCTGTGCAAGAAACTGAACCGTGTTTATATCGTTTTTTTTTTACCTCTGATGCACTGCAATGTCTAAACTGTCCTGAGCACGTCCTCGACAGTCAGCGCATGACGCGTCTTCTTTTTCTTGCTTTACGGCGGATCGCAGACTTAGAAGTGCATTACCGCCCCCTATCTCTCAAATGGACCATTGACAATCTCAATTAGGCGTGTCAGTGGTCCATTTGAGAGATAGGTGGCGGTAATGCACTTCTAAGTCTGCGATCCGCCGTAAAGCAATACGAAGAAGATGATGCATCAGGCGCCGGCTGTCCAGGACGCGCTCAGTACAGTTCAGACATTGCAGTGCATCAGAGGTAAAAAAAACAAAACAAATCAATGTATCGTCACGAGCCGCAGGGTTTAAATTTGGTTTTGTTTGTGTGTTTTTTTTTTGTTTTTTTTTACTCTCAAAGCCATGATTCCCATCCACTTCCATTAT